TAGCAGTAGCTGGAATATCCATCACATTACTGTGTCCTAATGTGACATTTAAGAGAAAGACATACCTGTGCAATCTTGAGCAACATAGACATTTATATCATGTAAAAGAGGATGTGTTGCAGTATCCATGGCTAGTCTGAAGAAATTATATCATAATTAATTAGAACACTGTCAAAATTACAACAAATGTTTGAGTCCTATTCCCCCACAGGTCAAGAAGATAAGTGGGCAAAGGCAAGTATGTTTGTTATGTAGATAACAATTTTCCATTGAAAAAAAATTATTATTTGACAGACAAGACAACATAATACATGTAATATACTAAAATATAACAATATAGTACAATAACATACATGTACACCGTACATAGGCAAATATAAAGTAAACTTATGGACATGGCATCAATATTGCAGTGACAATCACAAACAACAATGACCAGCAACCCAGTAAAAMGTTTTAAATRTACTAGCTGTCATATGCTTACTTGAGGATATGAGCAACAGATGAGGGCCCRTACCAGTCTCCTGCTTGTTTGCCTGACCTCTGACCCAAGGAGACTAGTCGATGAAGAGAGAATGGACTTCTTTCTTCATCATCATGGTCCCCAAAGAACCGTAATACCTAGAAMACATGATAGTACAAATACATCAAAGGATGATTGATGGCATGACTGGTGGGATATGATAACAGCATTGTTGTGTATTTTACTGATTKAATAACTTACAACTCTGTAATAATGATCTTGTTCTCTAGAATGACATCTCCCAGAGACTCTCCAATCTACAAATACCAAAAATCAATCTTGGCTAAAATGCTACAACACTATTCAATACMATGTACATGTACATGCTGCTGTAATCACTAATCTGCTTGCAAGTATACTRGAAAATAGCTGMAATCTTGGACAAAAAGAGTTGAGAATATCCATGTCTCCTTTTGTTATTTTCTTGCCTCTCTCTACACCCATTTTCTTGATGTTGCAATCTGGGTATGGCCATGTTATTCAGTGGATAGGGTGTATGTAGAACAGCTTTGGTTTACGGAAATGACATGTCATGGAATAAAATCTACAATTTTTTCGCACACAACAACAATTGTGACTATATATAGTAGGTGAACAGGCTATGATACCAACCCTTTTTTAGAAAGTGAAATATAAGTCCTGATGCAAGCATCATTTGTCCACTTCTCAACATGCAGCCCCAGCCACAGTCTGAAGTTAATGTTGAACCATTCAACTGTGTGAATTCACGTCTGTATGTCAGCCATATCAATGATGAGAAATGCCTTTGAAACTCTTCCATACTGAATATTTTACATTTTTCTGTTGACTTRGTGTCAGCTATTTCTGTTGATAATAAGAGAACAACAAGTTTGCATTGATCTACTAAATGCCACTGTAGCCTTACACTTCATAGTATCCATTGTCTAGATATAGATAGCTGCAGCCACAGGGCTGAATTGGGTACTATTTGTGTGAAAAATTGGGAGCGTGAAAGATCTTTTCCTCCTAAGCTTGTAACAACTCTGGTGGCATGGAGTAGCAGGGGACAAGGAATACAGTCACCAGCAACAGATCATGCATCATAAACAGACTTTTTTCACAAGGATAGCATAAAGGCACTGAATTGTTACAGTACTTTTGCATTCTTTCTTAGAGCGGATTTCGTATGAGTGGGAAATGGACAGTACTGTACTGTGTCCGTAATTGTACTGTAACCAAATTCTAGTGCCCCATTGTTTCACCAAAATTCTGCAGGCCAGATGCTGTAATTGTGCGGTAACCGTGCGGTAACGGTGTCCCACTCATACGAAATCCGCTCTATTATGCAGAACACTAACATCACTTGTATTGCAGAGATCAGGTCAGATTAATCTACCAGCAACCATAGTTAAAGGCAATTTAAACTTAACCTTGCAATGCTTGAGTACAGCTAAAGCAAGTAATAAATAGCATGAAAACATCCACAGGAACTTCAAAAAGTTGCTGAAAAAGATGTACATAAATGCAGACCACACTCAAATGCCTCTTGCATTGTAATGTGAAAGCAAATGAAAGTGCCATTGTTTCACTYACCATAAATYTTTCTATGATAGCATCTCCCAAGTAACCAAATGGGAGAGTCTTCATTAAAAGTTGATTTGGAGGGTAACGACAGGCCTAATAATAAATCATAAACAACAACTTTGAATTTCAAGGAAGTTTACAACAAAAAGTTAGCAAAAGATAAYTGATGAGATATAGACTTTCTACAATTGTCAGATAAGGAATAAAATCTCAATTGCCATATCTTAGCATGAGTAATCAATGTGAACTTAAATAGATAAAAGCGTTGAAAGGTGCTCAATTCTTTCGCTTCCTGGATTATAGCAAAATGCAAGCAGCGTCATCTTTAGAATGCCTCGGGATTGCAAGCAGAAGTGAAGAAAATTTTGAATAACTTATTTCACCATTATCTCTGTTATATATTGGAATGCTAGTTAAAATAATAAAAGTCAAAAAAGTTAAAAGTTATTGTCATCGTTCCTACCATAGCGCATGTTGTTCCAAGCAGATAAAAAACGTGTTTTAATTTTCTCACTGTCAAAAAGATCTTCGTCTTCACTATCTTCGCCTTCTTTATCCTCTTGAGATCTTAGACGTAGAAAATTGAAGCCGCCAGTGAGCAACTGAGCTGGACTCGATGGAGATTTTGCTTTCTTCGGCGGAGCGTCGTCCGCCATTTTGATTGTTATTGGCAAATGATGTCCCTRGTTCCTTATTAGGATGGGGTTTCGGATGTCATAAATCTTTTTTCCATATTAGGTGGTATCTTTTTTTACGAAAATAAAAATAATATAAAATTTGAAAGTGAAGATAAAAACATAACAAATAAGTTAAATCTGAGCTAAGCAGAAAAACTTTCTAAATTTTAAAGGCATTCATTCAAAAATCCGATCAAAATATAAAAATCAAATTTGGAATCATATCACACATCTTATTATTTTTTTTAAATTATGGAAACAAAATATATAACAAAAGATGAAAAAATGTTCTGACAAATTTTTGGAGAGCTACAATTTTTTTCTAATCGGGCTCCCTTTGCAAGCAAGCCGCTAGTACTTAGTCTTCCCCTTTCGAAGCACCGGTTGCTAAGCGACMTAATTAGGCAACCTCGACAACTAAATCATTCAATGAATCTTGGCGCCTCGTTACATTGTAATGACAATTATATCTAATAGACTTAAAGGACAGTCTTTTTAAGGGAAAAACCATATGAATATGACTCARAAGAAGTATTCTGGTGCACCATTTGGTGTTCAAACGCCAAGGTAAGTCATTTTCTTGCTATTATAACTTGAATCGTCTTACGCGTTGGCAAGTTTGCATTAGTATGATAATGCCTAAAAGTCCGATTATGTCTTTGCTATAATCACCGAAATCCAGCTTGAAATTATAGAATACCATAATAATCTCTAGATCTAATTTTGAATAGAAATTTGGTTTACATGTTAAACAATTTACACTTCCAGTTCTGARACAGACATACCTCAACATCAAGCGTGACAAGCGATGTCACGTTCAATGAACTTGAATAACTTAATAAAATACATTGATAAATTGAATTTTATTTTATAAAATGCACGTCCATTAGCAAGGTTATGTATGGAGTATAGGATCACCAATTGAAAGTTTCGTTAAGATTTTAACGTTTTGATTAAGTGACTTGAAAAATGCCTTCCCACGCACTGGATCGCGTTACTTTCAAATTCATTCGCCTTTTTTTTCGGCTTTTCAAATTAATTTTAGGGTATTTCACTTTATAGTATATTTACTCCCGAATCAAATAAAAATCAGTGGCGTACTTGCTGGTTAGGATAATTAAGACAAAAGCTAATTTTACCAATAAAGCTTAGCACTTTTGTTAAGYCTTTTGTTAAAAGTTTGAAAACAAATTTGAATCCTTTGAATTTGAAGCTCAATGGATTTTACATTCACGGGGAGTCATGTGYGTAATTAGCATTGCGAAATTTTAAAAATGCTGTGAAATAATTGCCTGCAAATGACTCAAAAATTTGCAGTTGAATATTTAATGTCTTAATAAATTATACTTTATTTCTCTTTCTTTCCTATTTTTTTCACTTTTCTTTTATTTCTCTTTCTCTATTTTTTTAAATTGATTAATTTTTTCTCAGTATATGTAAACATAAAAAGAAAGAATTGTACTGTACCACCATTTATGCCACATATTGATAGTTTAAATCATTTAGATTTGTTATGAGATATAAAAAAAATAAAAATATTTGTATTTTTCAGAATTTTTTCAGTATTTATTCTATGTAATATTTTGTAAAGAAAAAATTTACATATGCATAGTTTGTAATGATATGACACTTTATTATCACATCTTGTTCAAACTCAATATTGCACAGAATTTGAATTTCAAAGAAGTGAAACAACTGTCTGACATATAGTCATGTATACTCTTTTTCTGTGACTGGAATGTCACGTAAATGAAGGACATTCATTTTTAACTAAAAAATAAGGTTCAGTATTTGCTCAAGAAAGCAAAGACATTATGTGGTCGGCCTATCTCTGCAGCAGGTGAAAATATAATTATTTTAGAAATTTTGATAAATTGTTGAATTTGTGTATGTCAAAAGAAGAGGTCAATCACAGCTGTTTGTCTAACTTTTTGGAAGAGCTTTGAAAAAGCAGTTAAATCACCACAGCATTATATTTAGATTATAAGATACCATAGTATTGTATCTATTTCTCATTTATTTTGGTAACCCAACAATATTGTATATATATAAGCCAGTATACATGTACATTTAAATTATGTTCCCATAGAGATCTTCATAATTATGGCCAACAATGAGCCCATTTTCCAAGTACAAATATATTTTTTCTCTGTAAATATTTACAGCTAAAAAAGCTGCTTTGTTCATAAAATTTATTTATTTATTTTTGTTTTTTTGTAGGTTCAATGTTTCATCCATTCATCCAAAAAGTAAAACTCCAGGTACTTTCACTCAGGTTGCATATGACAAGAAGAGTATGTCAGACGTGGTAAGTCAAGTGTTGTGTGAGTCTGTGATTTATCATTATATCACACTATCTATCTTAACTGTTGTCACGTGTCACTCCCTTTTTACTGTTCTTGTTTTGGGCTGCCTGTGGCACAGGAAGCCTGAGACAACCAGACTCATTAAACGAGATTTCTACCTATCATCTACACAAAATGCAACAATCTTAACAATGAAGGAGYTTTTGGCTAGTAATATACCAGCATGCAGGAGGGRCGATATGGCATCATGATGATCATAATCATAATTGTCATCACTGTACTGTACATGCAAATAATTTATTATATGAACACAACTGACAGATATGTCCTCATATCATTGTGTAGCAACACTTTTTAGTCCATAATTGTCAAAATCATGCAATAATCAATATTTTTCTGCATCCTCAGAGACGTAAACTAGGTCCAGGCTCATATAATGTGAATATTGGTGGATTCAGTTCAAAAGCTGTCATGGAAAGGTCATCGGGACCTGGCTGGGAAAGATCTTATGAAACTTCTAAAATGGCAAAGATTCCACACCTACTWTACAAAGAACAGTGGAAAAAGAAGCAATTACAAGTAAGAAATATTCCTCGAACATGATAATGAAATAGACTCAGAATCCTCTTATCCAACTATGCTCACATCTGYCTTTTTCTTCATTCTCGTGCATGTCTAGTATCTATCATGACCGCTCTCTGTTGTTTTATCAGAAAAGATTACTTGGTCCTGGAACATATAATATCAAAGACTTTATTGAAATATCATCAGAGAAACCTAARAGCGTCCGAGGAATATGTGAAACAAGGGCTCCACGATTCGAAAATGTCGAAGAGGTGAGATTAAATGGCTATATCAGCCCTGTGGACGGTACGAACAATACGGCATTGTTTTATCACGCGCAGCATTGCACCAAGTATCTGAGCCAGCAACTTGCAAAGCCACTGAATTGTACAGTGTGTTACACCATCAGCTTCTTTCTTCSCAATTCTAGGCCTAGTGACCATGCAATCGTTTCTTTGCATTTTTATTACTAAATTTCCTCGAGGAAACTAGAGAAAAAGAAAAACGCGTTAGGATGGACGGCCTTTGAGCGAACTATCAGAGCGCAAGCGCGAATCGGAACWACATTTGTMMTGTTTTGAAACTTCTTGCGCAAACTCAGAGACAACGCCGTTGTGACACCTCCTTATTTTTTGACCAAAATTGRGTTAGTRCTTCATGTAATRCCCTTGTAAAGCCAAGRTATTTCAGTGTCAAAAAGAGTTTATTGGAAYTGGTGTTTCGTGTGTTTTAGAATGGTGTACCTGGTCCCGGGACSTACGGTAACGGTGGAATACCAAGTGCAGTTTTAGAAGAAAAGSAAACACTRTCTGCATCAAATATTGGCTTACTCGACTCCGGAAAATCCTACAAGCGACAGCTACCTGAAGTTGTGAGTATAATTCTAGTTCATAAATAAGATTTGGAGAAATGTTTGGATCGAGGGAAAATGGGCACAAATCACACACATGCACGCACGCCACGTGCTGGAAAGGCCTGTTGAAATGAGAARGCGTTTGCTGTGAATTCGACCACAGAATTGCTAATATCGAAACATTTTTTCGTTCACTTTTTCGCTGATAAATTACGAATCACAAACAATGGATTCTAATCACAAACAGGACCTCTTTTAGTTAGTGACAGCGAAAGCGCTGAAATGTTTGGAACCCTTTTCCGCATGGGTTTTGTAAAAATAAAGTGCATGCAGGTGCAAAACGCACTCTGTTATTCTTTATGATCATTTTGGGGGGTTGAATAATGAAACCCGGGGGGGAACTCCCTCCAAACTTGGATGGGGGTGTGCCGCTGGGACATCAAAACCCTGATCCTGTTCCAGAGTAAAATCGCTGAAAACGATATCCTGTTCCAGAGAAAATCCAGCACTAGCTTGCGTGTAGACCGAATTTTTAACCCATGAATTTTTACCTAGCATAAATAATTCCGGAATCAAACCCTGACTCTGTTCCAGAGAAAATTCGTTGAAATCGATACCCTGTTCCAGAGTAAAATCTCTAAAAATGATACCCAGTTCCAGAGTAAAATCGCTGAAAACGATACCCTGGTTGGCGGCACGTCCCCGTATAGCGTATAGCGTATGGCGTCCCCCATCCCCCGGGTAATGAAAGCGATCTATAAAGCGATGAGACTCTTCATCTCTGACTAACGCGCTATTGACAATAGATAATATCTAATGACTCGTGAATTGAAATATTTTACTTTCAGGGAAGCCATCTTTGTCCAGGCCAATACGAGATGAATAGCTTTACCGATGAATTRTCCAATAGAGTGATCAGTAAACGAGGTCCTTATGATTTATTCACGGGAGAGAGACATGAACCAATACAAGTCGGCTACTTTGCAGTGCCTGTAAGTACAAAGACAAAGCTGTTTTGGTGAACGAGTATTGTCTATACTCTCTACRACATTTGTACAACATGCTTTGAAACTTAACATGAGCTTTGAGCATATAGTTGCACTTTAGATTGTAGACTTGACTTAGAAAGATGTAATTCCTCCACTTTCTTTCCACTCCACACACTTACCGGAGGAATAAAGCACGTTTTTGGGAACAATCAGGGCGAGCGTAAAGACGCATCTGTGTTACTAATAACGTTTAGAATTCATTTTATCGTTCACTCTCTCAATACTAATGCGATGAAAAAATACAAACACAGAATAAATGGAATGTATAAAAAATGATTTCAATTATTCTAATGTTCGTAGTGGCCAAAGCTGAAAAGGCTTTCGAGCTGGCCAGCAGCTGGCCACCACCGAATTTTATCTTTCTGTAATTTGTAATCACAACTTGTATGTAACTTAACTTATGTAACTTTTGTTATTGAATAGCTGAAGCAAAAACTAGGRCCCGGTGAATACGATCTGAAGTCGTTCTTAGATGAGAACATTGGAGAACACAAGGCACGTCATGGTCGATTCTTGAAGGTGGAAAGATTTCCCGAGTTTCCTAAAGACAGAATATACTGTTGTACACTTAGTCAATGTCCCAGAGAACCGGTAAGGATTRTTGCTACTCCGAAAATAATGGCATTTCTCTTACAAAGAATTTTTGATACTTGATCCCCCATTTTCCAACCCTTCAACTCAAGCCTGGTTTTACTGCAACGCAAACATAAGCAGAAAACAAAGATTAACACAAAAAAATAAAGTCAACTTTAACATAAGCATAAGCGTAACCCGAGAGGGATCCAATTACAACGGGGCCATCAGTGCCAAAATWGGCCCCTAAAATGTACCTGTGCCAATGGGCGTGGCAGTGATGAATATGAGATACCATTATCTGGTTTTGGTTTCGTAAAATAGTTTTTGGAGAGTTTTGCATAAGTTTTTGTCGTGGAGTTAACGTTTTACAGCTCACCATATTTGTTTATTWTTTACAGAGTGAGCCTGGGCCTGGAGCCTATTCAGTTCAAGCGCTTACAAAGCCCGAGGCACAAAAACGACCGCCATTTGGTTCATCGGCAGAACGCATGGACAAACACGCCCGTAGGTTCTTCCTTGGGAATTATGTAAGTACAGAGTGATTGGCCCTGAATTGTTTGCGATGCGAATGCACTATAACTGTTGAAAATAGTRCAGTTTCGCCGGTATTTTTGTTGAATGGCCACGCACAAAAGAAGTGAAGATGGATGAAGATGAGGAAAAAGGGAAACAAAAAACGAATTTATGGTTTCAACAAAGACTGTCTTCAATTCTTTTTAGCGCATGAAACATTTCAAAATTGTTTCGCTACGTGACGTACCAGAGTTGTTATGTGGAAAGGCGCATTCCAAAAAAGCCATTAAAAGAGCCAAAAAAAGAGTTTTGCTCTACTATACTGGGGACACCCTATCTCAAGTAAACAGGGCCTTAGTAAATGTTTACAAGATATCATGTTGAAATGTGCTGAATCGTCGCATGGATTTACGCATATATGGCACGCAGTTTCGTTGTCCAAGTATTATAACATTGTAATAACTATTGGTTTGATATCTCTTGTAGAATCCAGTGGGTCCTGGGCGATATAGTCTTAACCGGTACGATCTAGCTCAACACGTTAATGGTCATCAAAGTGCTTTTGACTCGAGAACCAGAAGGTCGGACTTGGCGCGCGATAAATATATGGCGTAAGTACAGCACAGGCATCCCATCCATTTTGGGCTCATTGGGTCACTAACTAATACTTGTACTTAGTACGAAGAAAGGCTTGTTTTTTTTGAAATCTTACATGCGACATACAGACTCTTTATAGTCATATCTCTTGTGCGAAAACTGTCAAATCGCATAATTAAGTTATAGTGCAATGCGTAAACACGGAATGAATGAAGCTCCGTTTTATACCCATATTGAACGCWAGGGACCCACCCACGGCTCTTAGCTGAAGCCCCTGTGGTGTATATAGAGCATGCCTTACGGGTTGTTTGGCCAAGGTCCGTTTACTGACTTGCGAGTTTGCATCGCGATTATCGCGCGACAATGGTCACTTTGCTATCTCGCAACTCAAACCGTACGTGTAAACAATTCTACGATTGTTGCGGCGATGGAAAATCCCAGCGAAGTTGCAGTAACTTTCAAATGGTTTGAAACTCAGGCAATGGTCGCAATCTCATCTCATCTCTTTTTCTCATAAGATTTTTGCTCTCATGGATCTTGTTCCCAGAGCATGATAAAGCCACAGTTAGTGGAACAATGCACTCCAGCCAGGAAATGCGATAGTAGTTTCACTTTACCCTGCGCTCTCTACCAGAAACTTATTATATCCTGCGTGTACATAAATCATGAAAACTATCATCTTTAAAACATCATTATTTTACAGAGAAAGAATACGACAAAAGGACGTTAGACCAGAAGACAAAGTATACATCGTACCGATGACTGCGTAATAGCAGACGAATTCTAACCTATGGGCTCCCTGTGTTGGTAGCCGGACCAGTTGAACAATCACATTTGAATTACTATTTTCTTGGAATATAATGTTTGTAAATATACAACTGATATTGGTTCCAAAGTTTGAAAAAAATTGTGTGTAATATTGGGTGAAAAGGCTATTGGTTTGTACAAAATAATTTTCTTCAAATAAATTAATGAAAGACCTTAAAAAACTACATTTGTTGTGGTATAGTAATAATAGAAAAACTTGYGCATTTTYATTGCTATTCAGATTTTTTTAAAAAATGATATTAAAATCCCTTTGGAGAAATCGTAGACTGATTCCATAAGTCGTAGTATTCGCTCCTCGATTTTTGGCGACAAAAAATATCGACTGCAGAGAGGGGACTGGTACCGACTCATGGAATCAGTCTAGGTTGCAAAGCGTTCTGGTAGTTGTAGTCAAGGTGTTTCGATCGGACAATATATGGATATTATATTTAGATATTTCGACAATTCTCATAATTTTTGGCATGATTATTTACTCTCTACTGCAGATGTCTTTATATACCCCTTGCAGTTCACTGGAAAGTATCTACAACTGAATCATGAAACAATGTAACACAAATACCTGTACTGTAGAATTAAAGTCACTAATCTTTACCTGTACTGTAGAATTACAGTCACTAATCTTGTTCTATTTATGTGATACTCCACCAGTGAAACAAAATCTCACCGTTATAGTTCGATAGCTTAAGACATAAAATACAATGCAATTAGAGCATAGTTGCAATTAGAGCATAGTTGTCTCGTGCCCAGATGCTTTCAGTTCCCCATTGGAAAATTGATTTTTTTTTTCAATTTTTTTCGTTGGAAAACTGATCAAAATTTGGTAACGATAATGGAGCATATTCTAAAATCTATTTCACAGGTCTATTGACTTCACTCCAAAAAAAAAAACAAATAGAAGACAAGTTWTTGTGGAATATTTAAAAGAACATTTATTTCATAAAATGAAGCATTRAACTACAGGCCTTCAAATATCAAAGCCCTTTAAACCTTTACAGGGTGACCCATGCAATAGTTTCTAGGCCTTTCACACAGGCAACCCAAGCAAAGTTCTCCAAGCTGTTTCAAAGGCAACCAAAAGTAGTGTTGACCTATCAAATGAAAAAAAAACACTTAAGAAAACAGAACTTGGGTTGTCGGATAAATCTAGAATAGTTTTCTTCACAAACAATGTATGAACAGAACTGTTCTAACTTCATCTCTAGCCTTGGTTGAAAATGAAAATTAACTGCAAATGTCAAACTTGTCCCCTGGTATGTTGACATGAATTGTCACTGTCTAAATTAGATTGTTCTGGAATCAACCTGCAGGATCTTGCATCCAGATACAAACATACTTCTTTATCGTAACTCCTGCAAGTTCTTTGTTGGCAAAACAGCTTCCCAACCTAGTAGTATTTGCAATGTTTCTAGGCAGATTAACCACCTTATCAGCAAATGTAGTTAAACTTTTCTGAATACCTTTGCATACTTTAAACTGTTAGGGTGTGCTATTGGCCTAACATTTGTAGCATCCAGTATTTCCTGAATACCTTGCAGTACTTGAATGTACTGCCATAAACTGTAGTTTAACTCCACGAATACTTTAGGAATGATTTGTTCTAAATCCTTTCACTTCAAAGATAGCTTCCAAGATTGAAAACTTGAAATTGTCGCTTATTAGAGTTTAAAGCAATGATGACCAGAAGGCATTTCAYTTTTACACAGAGTTCCTTGCATTTATGGAATTAATACCCAATTTTCAGCCAACAGCTATKCTAACTTTCCAAGTTAAAACTACAGCTTGTCCACAATATACATATCTGTTGTATATCATCTACGTTGTTCCATTATGGTTACCTTAAACCAGCCCAAACATGCTATAATGCATCAATAGCAAATAAGTTGAGGCTGGTTGAGATTACTAGTCCTTGTATGAAGGAKGCAACAGATAGGTTTAACTGTCTTGTTCTGAAAAAATCACAAAGCCATGTGCACCATTTTGTTTTGCTTTAGCACATCACCAGCAAATATAACTGAGCCTTAGTCAGCAATTCCACATCAGTAGTGTGTGTAACTGAGTCTTTGTCGCCAACTCCACATGGAATATTGTTCTCTGACCAGTCTTATTGAAATTAATCATGTAACTCATTCTTTTTAGYCATAAGCTGATCACCATTATTCCACTTTATGTCGCATACTTTCACATTTGACCAGCCAAGCGGAAGATTTCAGTTATATTTAAACAAACTTGTGAAGCTTGTTAATCATACCAACAATGCACTGCAAGCAAATAGGCGTCCAGATTTTCTCTCCATCTCAATATCATATTCATGAATGAGCTTTAATAGAATAATATKATATCATTGTAGACTTGTTTTCTACGTATTTGCATTTGCCAAACTTTAGGCATCATGAAAGCTTTCCCAGACTAGGAAATGGTAACATCTCCATTAAGATATAAATGTAGTTCCTTTAAGTTTCTTGTCATCACGTTATTTGCTCACTATTTTGCCAGCCATTTTGTAGCTAGCAAAGTACTACTAGCTGGGGAATTGCGTTGKCCCCAGTCAAAATAGGTAGTTAATCAGCCATTTGTTAGGCCAGCAAAGTACTGATGAGTAATTATATAGTTCCCAGTCCTGCTCAAAAGTAATTCAGCCATTTGTTAGGCCAGCAAAGTAACATTACTGTTGGGTAATTGTATAGTTCCCAGTCCTGCTCAAAAGTAATTCAGTCATTTGTTATGCCAGCAAAGTACTCTTGGGTATTTGAATAGTTCCCAGTCCTGCTCAAAAGTAATTCAGCCATTTGTTATGCCAGCAAAGTACTCTTGGGTATTTGAATAGTTCCCAGTCCTGCTCAAAAGTAATTCAGCCATTTGTTATGCCAGCAAAGTACTCTTGGGTATTTGAATAGTTCCCAGTCCTGCTCAAAAGTAATTCAGCCATTTGTTAAGCCAGCATATTTCTGCATGTAAACTGCGCTGAGACCAGCCTCGCTTGCAGTTAAGTTACAACAATCATCCAGGGTGCATAATTCCAGCCAATCAGTGACTTGCCAAAGGGCGCTGTTTTCAATAAACTTGCATTATTGTTTTACGTATTCACACGATAATCAACTGGCCATTAAATCTAGAAAAATCTCTTATTTGCCAAAATATATGAACTTTAACTAATTAACTTGTATACAATAAAATGCTGGCCTGAAAATTGACACAACCAAGCCAGCGATGCACTATTGGGATGTTGTTTAGTGCCTAGTCCCAATCATCATCTCCATCAGGGATACCAGCTGAGATTGGATCTGTTGAGAATCCATTAGACATGCTGTCACCACCGCCACCACGCTTGCTCCCATACTAAAAATGAAAGAAATCGTTAAGAATTCTGTGGAGGAGTCTCCTTCTTTTGAAAACCAACAGACCAGTGGTAAGCCTTTAGACCAAAGGAAAATCTAAGCTTATAAATTTGAATAACATAAGTGAGAACATTCTTGCTCTGCATTGCCTTAAATTGTGTATGTAAACAATCAATGCATTTGATACATATAGCAGGTCAACAATGCACATTCATTTCTTGCRTTTTTTGCCAAACTGGGCATTTCTGAGGCCTGAATAGCCGGGGTAAGACATAACTGGTATAAACATGTACTTAAACTATTGTGGTTTAATGGTGGCACATGAGATGTTACCTCTCTTCTGGTATCTCTTGCACCAAACCGTCCTCCAGCTGGACCATAGTCTGTACCAATGGCTTCTTCTGCAATATCTTCTAGCCAGTTTGGGATCTCTTGATTAGCCTGTTGAAACAGAAGAAAAGGACTGAGTGGGCAAAAAACACAWACACAATA